CATCTCTGTAAGTGGGAGAACTTGTACAATTGGTGGGGACTAAATACTTTTTTGCCCCACTGTATATATATATATATATATTTTTTTTTTTAAATTTTAAGTTTTTTCCCGCATGGAACTGTGCAGCAACAGATAACTTCTAATGGTGTATTGCTGACCACATATATGTATATAATGGTGTATTGCTGACCGCGTATATGTATATAATGGTGTATTGCTGACCGCGTATATGTATATAATGGTGTATTGCTGACCACATATATGTATATAATGGTGTATTGGTGACCACATATATGTAGTGTAGGGTGTATTGCTGACCACATATATGTATATAATGGTGTATTGGTGACCACATATATGTATATAATGGTGTATTGCTGACCGCGTATATGTATATAATGGTGTATTGCTGACCACATATATGTATATAATGGTGTATTGCTGACCGCGTATATGTATATAATGGTGTATTGCTGACCACATATATGTATATAATGGTGTATTGCTGACCACATATATGTATATAATGGTGTATTGCTGACCGCGTATATGTATATAATGGTGTATTGCTGACCACATATATGTATATAATGGTGTATTGGTGACCACATATATGTATATAATGGTGTATTGCTGACCACATATATGTATATAATGGTGTATTGCTGACCACATAGATGTATATAATGGTGTATTGCTGACCACATATATGTATATAATGGTGTATTGCTGACCACATATATGTATATAATGGTGTATTGCTGACCACAATCATCCAGCAATAGATCTCAATAACAATGATCTGTTGCTGTAGGGAGAGGTTGGACAGAGCTGTAACGGCTTTGCTATGACCTCACTGGTGACATCACTACTTTCCCAATGTGACCACAATGCAGAAGCATGCCCCTTGCACTACAGCACAGCTGATTGGCTCCTACCTCCAGATGCCAGGCCCCACCTACTTACACTGTACAGCAGGGGCGGACTGACAACTCATGAGGCTCCCGGGAAATAGTAGATCATGGGGCCCCTGTGTCCTCGTCTACACTCAAACCGCACCCAAAAAAGCCTATGAAAGGTACCAGGGGCATCTCATGGGGCCCTCTACTGACCCCGGGCCCTTGGGCAGCGCCCGAGTTCTAAAATGGTCAGTCCGCCCCTGCTGTACAGGTAACAATGTGTACATGAACTGTTACATTGTAACAACGATTAGTTGGTGTCTTCTCCATCTGCCCAGAGTTCATCTTTCAGCTCATATGAAGTTTTTCTCTCGGGTCGCCCTGATTTTTCTCGTTGATTCATTTCCCGGGAAGCTCCCATTATTTCTCCATCATTTGTGTAGGTAAAATGAATTACAAGCAGCAGACATCCGGGAGGATTTGAGTCCTCTGCGCTCACGCAGTAATTTGCCGGGTAAAAAAATGGCGGCTTATTGAGAAGAGTCCTCCTGATCGGCCGCGTCTCGGAGGGAGGCCCAGACATAAACTGTTTTAGGAATGATTGCCGGGGCCGCTGGGGCCCCGCTTGCTCATTACATTAAACCCACAGAATATGATCGTGTTTAGGATACTGCCGTAATGTGATAGAAGCTCGGCTGAAATTGTTTTATTTCTGCAAGCAAAAAAAATAAAAAAGGAAAATAAAGGAAAAAACGGAACACAATAGATGTATTCTCCACTGTCTGCCGGTCCCTGGGGTGGGGGGGCTGATTAGCAGGCTGTTATTATTTATATAAGATCCAAGGCGGGGAGTCTGCTCAAGGGAAGGAGGATAAAAACAGAGATGGCGGGGAGTTTTAAAGAGAACCTGTCACCATATGGTGAATGAATGAGAACATTGAGGTCTACGGTATTCTAAGTCTGCGGGGTTATCTAGGATGGTGTTATATTTATGTCCTTTTTAGTTTTACTGAGGATGAGGAAGACGCCTGAAGTCCCGGTGCTGCCCTCACCACCGTTCTCCCGAGATTTCATCGGAATTTCCATAAGTGGACGCATTTGAAGTGGTGGGATACTCTATGCAGGATCCTAAAGCTACAAACCGCCAAGTTTAAGCGTCTCATGCCAACAGTTTACAGTGATTGTTGATGGGAATTCTAAATGCCAAAAAGCAAAAAAAAAGCGGCTCACCAGCCTAGTCTCTTATCAATGGCGCCATTTATTAAAAAAAAAAAAGTAACAAACCATTACATAGTGAAAAGTATACCTTATGGTATGGATGGAAGGGTAAAGATCGCACCACCCGCAAGTCAGAAGAGGGGAGCGTGAGTCCAAAAGATTCCAGTGTCAGTCAATACAAGTGAAGGGATGGCCGCTGCTCAACTGACCAGAGGGCGTGGCCAGAATGGCGGCTCAGGCCATTCCTTAACATTGGACTCCTGGGGTCGGTTGAGCAGCGTCCATCCCTTCACTTGCAAACCATTATACTCACAAATGCAGATTATTATTTTATTTCATTTCAGGTACTTATATATCGCCGTCAATTTACACAGCGCTTTACATATACAGTGGGGCAAAAAAGTATTTAGTCACCACCAATTGTACAAGTTCTCCCACTTACAGAGATGAGAGAGGCCTGTAATTGGCATCATAGGGAGACCTCAACTATGAGAGACAAAATGAGAAAACAAATCCAGACAATCACATTGGCTGATCTGGAAAGAATTTATTTGCAAATTATGGTGGAAAATAAGTATTTGGTGAATATGAAAAGTTCATGTCAATACTTTGTTATATATCCTTTGTTGGCAATGACAGAGGTCAGACGTTTCCTGGAAGTCTTCACAAGGTTTGCACACACTGGTGCTGGTATGTTGGCCCATCCTCCATGCAGATCTCCTCCTCCATGCAGATCTCCTCTAGAGCAGTGATGTTTTGGGGCTGTCGCTGGGCAAAACGGACTTTCAACTCCCTCCAAAGGTTTTCTATGGGGTTGAGATCTGGAGACTGGCTAGGCCACTCCAGGACCTTGAAATGCTTCTTACGAAGCCACTCCTTCGTTGCCCGGGCGGTATGTTTGGGATCATTGTCATGTTGGAAGACCCAGCCACGTTTTATCTTCAATGCCCTTGCTGATGGAAGGAGGTTTGCACTCAAAATCTCACGATACATGGCCCCATTCATTCTGTCCTGTACATGTTATGCAACCACATAACACAAAACAATCCACAACCCCCCCACCCCCACCTATCTCCTAGACATGTCTACACAATATTAGAACATTTCACCCTGCACCCCTAACAGGCACAGGGTGACTTACACATAAGAGGGATATGGGGAGCTGAGATAGGGGTCTCCCCACCTCTCCAAAGTGAGCTGTGTTCCATGCGCCCCCCCCCCCCCAAAGTCACTTCCGTCACAGTGACACAAGCTGCAGGGATTGGGATCTGGTGAGGCACTGCCATAGCTTTGCCATGGGAGGCTGAGGCTGCATGCTGCTGGAGGCTGCGGGCTGCTTCTTCTTTCACTTTGGTTAAGGTCAGTGCTTGAATCCGGTGGTTGTAGAAGAATGGTGGTGGTGGAGGGGCTGTTGTGGTGGGCGGCAGAGGTTGGTGTTGTGACCGATGGGGGTTCCTGTTGGGGGCACCCAATTATAGTGTTGCCTAGGACAGTACAAGAAATAAATACACCACTGGGTGCGTGTGGATTCTTCTATTTCTCAAAAAGTCCAGCATTAAGTTCTCCCCTCCAGAGTTCCTGGACCTCTTTGTCCCCATTTAGTTTATGAAGCTAATTGCATTCCAGTTCATTAAAACAAAAGGTGTGCAAAGTGTCACAGTTTGTTTCCTTTAGCCTGAGTAAAAAAGCCTGTCCCCCCGCCAGCATGCTACAGAGAAGGACCCATGCTCTCTGTGTGGAAGCAGTGGGCTCTCTACTGAAGTACAAGCAGACAAGGCCCTGGTTGGGTTACAGCCAGAGCTGACCAATCAGCTGGCCTTTCTATGTTGTAGCTAAGTCCCCTCTCTGTTCCCTTCCTGTGACAAGACAGTAAAAAGGGCAGAAACAGCCTGAAGAGGTCACCACGTTCTCCTCCCACCACTTCCCCTCTTCTCTGCTGTCAGCCAATATGGATCTGCCTAACAATATGGCGGTCATGACCTCCCAGTGGACCCCACTGGATGTGGTGAAGTTGTCACAAGTCCCGCTGGTTCCTTGGCCTGGCCGTGTTCTGTATTTCTGTTCATCATTGTTTCTCTGGCAGGAACATTCCATGATTACAGATGATTCACATAACATTCATTATGCGTCTGTTCCCATAATTCTCCGGTATTCAAGTTATCTGCATTATCTGTACTCTCTACAAGGAGAGTTTTCTCGGATCTAAAGGTTATTATTACTAATCAGTGTTCTGATATCATCATCCATGCTTAATCTCGCTTCATATCCAAGAATCGTGTTGAATAAACAAGATAACCACCCAATCAGCCGTGATCACCTCTTCCCACCATGATGGAGCATATTAAAGGATCGCTCCACTATAAAAACAAATTGTACATGAAATCCTTACATCAACATTGAAACATCTACTGAATAATATTTAATGCCTTCCCATCCCTTGCTGGCAGTCCTTCAACTGGGTTCTAACGCCGGGAGGCAGGATGGACTTTCTGATCATGTGGTCACTGTGATTGGTTGTCGTAGTGGTCAGTGGGAAGAATGTCCCTTACATTGGTGGTCAGTGGGAAGAATGTCCCTTACATTGGTGGTCAGTGGGAAGAATGTTCCTTACATTGGGGGTCAGTGGGAAGAATGTCCCTTACATTGGGGGTCAGTGGGAAGAATGTCCCTTACATTGGGGGTCAGTGGGAAGAATGTCCCTTACATTGGGGGTCAGTGGAAGAATGTCCCTTACATTGGGGGTCAGTGGGAAGAATGTCCCTTACATTGGGGGTCAGTGAGAAGAATGTCCCTTACAGTGGGGGTCAGTGGGAAGAATGTCCCTTACATTGGTGGGAAGAATGTCCCTTCATTGGTGATCAGTGGGAAGAATGTCCCTTACATTGGTGGTCAGTAGGAAGAATGTCCCTTACATTGGAGGTCAGTGGGAAGAATGTCCCTTACATTGGTGGTCAGTGGGAAGAATGTCCCTTCATTGGTGGTCAGTGGGAAGAATGTTCCTTACATTGGGGGTCAGTGGGAAGAATGTCCCTTACATGGGGGGTCAGTGGGAAGAATGTCCCTTACATTGGTGGTCAGTGGGAAGAATGTCCCTTACATTTGGGGTCAGTGGGAAGAATGTCCCTTACATTGGGGGTCAGTGGGAAGAATGTCCCTTACATTGGGGGTCAGTGAGAAGAATGTCCCTTACAGTGGGGGTCAGTGGGAAGAATGTCCCTTACATTGGGGGTCAGTGGGAAGAATGTCCCTTACATTGGTGATCAGTCAGTGGGAAGAATGTCCCTTACATTGGTGGTCAGTGGGAAGAATGCCCCTTACATTGGTGATCAGTGGGAAGAATGTCCCTTACATTGGGGGTCAGTGGGAAGAATGTCCCTTACATTGGGGGTCAGTGAGAAGAATGTCCCTTACAGTGGGGGTCAGTGGGAAGAATGTCCCTTACATTGGGGGTCAGTGGGAAGAATGTCCCTTACATTGGGGGTCAGTGAGAAGAATGTCCCTTACATTGGGGGTCAGTGGGAAGAATGTCCCTTACATTGGGGGTCAGTGGGAAGAATGTCCCTTACATTGGGGGTCAGTGGGAAGAATGTCCCTTACATTGGTGGTCAGTAGGAAGAATGTCCCTTACATTGGTGGTCAGTAGGAAGAATGCCCCTTACATTGGTGGTCAGTAGGAAGAATGCGCCTTACATTGGGGGTCATTGGGGAGGAATGTCCCTTACATTGGTGATCAGTGGGAAGAATGTCCCTTACATTGGGGGTCAGTGGGAAGAATGTCCCTTACATTGGGGATCAGTGGGAAGAATGTCCCTTACATTGGGGGTCAGTGGGAAGAATGTCCCTTACATTGGGGGTCAGTGGGAAGAATGTCCCTTACATTGGGGATCAGTGGGAAGAATGTCCCTTACATTGGGGGTCAGTGGGAAGAATGCCCCTTACATTGGGGTCAGTGGGAAGAATGTCCTTACATTGGTGGTCAGTGGGAAGAATGCCCCTTACATTGGTGGTCAGTGGGAAGAATGTCCCTTACATTGGGGGTCAGTGGGAAGAATGTCCCTTACATTGGGATCAGTGGGAAGAATGTCCCTTACATTGGGGGTCAGTGGGAAGAATGTCCCTTACATTGGGGATCAGTGGGAAGAATGTCCCTTACATTGGGGGTCAGTGGAGAAGAATGTCCCTTACATTGGTGGTCAGTGGGAAGAATGTCCCTTACATTGGGGGTCAGTGGGAAGAATGTCCCTTACATTGGGGATCAGTAGGAAGAATGTCCCTTACATTGGGGGTCAGTGGAAAGAATGCCCCTTACATTGGTGGTCAGTGGGAAGAAAGCTCCTTACATTGGAGGTCAGTGGGAAGAATGTCCCTTACATTGGGGGTCAGTGGGAAGAATGTCCCTTACATTGGTGATCAGTGGGAAGAATGTACCTTACATTGGGGGTCAGTGGGAAGAATGCTCCTTACATTGGTGGTCAGTAAGTAGAATGCTCCTTACATTGGTGGTCAGTAAGTAGAATGTTCCTTACATTGGTGGTCAGTAGGAAAGAACACCCCTTATATTAGGGGTCAGTGGGAAGAATGCTCTTTACATTGGTGGTCACTAGGAAGGACGCCCCTTATATTAGAAGCCAGTGGGAAGAATGATCCTTACATTGGTGATAAGTGGGAAGAATGTCCCTTACATTGGGGGTCAGTGGGAAGAATGTCTTTTACATTGGTGGTCAGAGGGAAGAATGTCCCTTACATTTGTGGTCAGTGGGAAGAATGTCCCTTACATTGGGGGTCAGTGGGAAGAATGTCTTTTACATTGGTGGTCAGAGGGAAGAATGTCCCTTACATTTGTGGTCAGAATGCTTCTTACAGTAATGCTGCTTAGTGGTCAGTGGAAGGAATATTTACCTTACAGTCAATTGGTATAAGTGGTAAGTTATCATGTGGTCACTTATTACTCAAAGACCCCCAACAAACTCTGGACGAACTCTGGTAAGAAGACTTATCTAATGCCTTAGAATTAGAATTCAGGAGGGGAACCAGAGAAAGATCTGTAATGTGGGAAGATAATTTATAGACACAGCAGTGGAATGGTGTTTTCCAATCTCTTGGGTATTTAGAAGCCCCATTTGCAGTCAGATATCGCTCTCGGTTTTGTTCTTTTTTTCTTGCCATCTTCTCGGGTTTCTTTGAGACTGTCAATAAGATTTGGATTTTAAGCTACTTTCTATTAGACTTCATCTTCTGTCTATTTGAGTGTTTATGTACATGGGGAGTCTTCTTAAATTCTGCCTTTTTCATTTGATTACAGAGCTACACAAATGCATGCCTGTGAACCCAAACTGCAGCAAACTATCTCCATGTCAATGTAATGCAGGATCAGCTACATCCAAGGAAGGACGATGCCAAGCAGGCCAAACGCAGCTTTAGATCTGCCATCCACATTGCACCAACAAAGTGAATTTCGGTCTGCAGTCTGACATGCGCCTTTAAGTGTCCATGTCATTGGGCATTCTAGTCAAACGTTGTATTTCCCATTGGAACACCATGTGAATTGCTCAGGTAAAGTCAATGGGATTATATTGACCTGCATTTGATGTGTATTATGATAGGGAGTGGAGTCTTACTGGGTCACTCACGCTTGTTTTGTCCTTTGTTTGCAGATTCCTGGATGCAGTTTTAAAGAGACACATAGGACACGTGATGGTGTCTTCACATAGTCTTTTTCCCCTGGACATGTATAGTTACCCTACCATGCTCCATCGCTGTCTCAACAGTCAAATGTGCTCAGAGGGATGGGGATGAAGTCATAGCACCACACTTCCCCTCAATATGACAGTATGCAGGTCTTGTGATGGCCACCCAGGCCCATGCAGTGTCATATAGAGTAGGTCTCGTGCTCCCCAATGCTTGTAAGCCCTGCTCCATTGGTAAGAGTTCCAGCAGTGCAGGGGATTGGGTTGGGGTTGTCAAGAGAGAGTTTGGCAGGGTAAGTACACTGTATATACCAAGGCTGCTAGTAGCACCTCACCTATGACTTGTCACAGTGTTGCAGATTTTGGAAATACCAAGCAAGGGTGAACACTGGAATGGGCCGCCCTGAGAGGGTGGGCTGGGAGCAGAAGGATTACGAATGGGTGGGCAATGGTTTAAGGATATCTCTAGACCCCTTGCATCACCTTTCAATCTGCTGAACGACATATCAGATTGGATGTCGCTCCACTTCCTTAAACTGAACCTCTCCAAAACCGAGCTCCTAGTTTTCCCCCAGCCCGCACACACTAACCCCCACTGACATCTCCATCACGTCCAACAAATCCACCATCAGGCCCACCCCCCAAGCCAGAAGCCAGAGTACTTGGTGTCATTCTTGACTCCTATCTATCCTTCCTGCCCCAAGTCCAATCGCTAACAAACTCATGCAGACTCCACCACCGCAACATCGCCAAAATCCGCACGTTCCTAACCCCAGAAACCACTAAACAGCTCATCCACTCCCTCATCATATCACGACTCGACTACTGCAACTCCCTCCTCACTGGCCTGCCTCACCGCAGGCTATCCCCGCTTCAGTGGATCCTGAATACGGCTGCCAGACTCATTCACCTTACCAACCGCTCTGTTTCCGCCACTCCCCTCTGCCAATCCCTCCACTGGCCTCCTCTCAGTGTCCTCCACCCCCCCTGCCAATCCCTCCACTGGCCTCCACTCAGTGTCCTCCACTCCCCTCTGCCATCCCTCCACTGGCCTCCATTCCCTCCACTCCCCTCTGCCAATCCCTCCACTGGCCTCCATTCTGCCAATCCCTCCACTCGTCCACTCCCTCCACTGGCCTCCACTCAGTGTCCTCTGCCCTCCACCCTCCTCAGTGCCAATCCCAATCCCTCCACTGGCTTCCGATTGCGCAACGGATCAAATTCAAATCCTAACACTGACGTACAAAGCCGTCCACCATACTGCCCCAAACTACATCACTGACCTAATATCCAAGTACCGCCCAACACGCACACTCCGCTCCTCACAAGACCTCCTTCTCTCTAGTTCCCTGGTCTCCTCCTCCCATGCCCGCCCCCAGGACTTCTCCAGGGCATCACCCATCCTCTGGAACTCCCTACCCCAATCCATCAGACTATCACCTACTCTCCTCTCCTTTAGGCACACCCTGAAAACCCATCTCTTCAGGGAAGCCTACCCCACCCCCTGCTAACTTGCCAACCTCCTCCACTCTTCCTACCACTCCATCCCCCACAGCTATCTCCTCCTGTACCACCATCCCCTCCCTCCTAGATTGTAAGCTCCAAGGAGCAGGGCCCTCAAACCCCTCTTGTATTGTATTGTATTGTTATTGTACTGTCGCATGTATTGTCTCCCATTGTAATGTACAGCGCTGAGCGAACTGTTGGCGCTTATAAATACTGTATAATAATAATAATAATGACATAGGGAGCCAGGAGAAAGTGGTTATAACTTGGGAATACCTCGAGGGGGAGCAGACAGCGAGGCAAGGAATTTGGGCCACCTGCCCACCCTCTTGGTAAATATGTGGATATGGCTAGGATTAGAAGTGCATAGGTTTGGGGAAATGAGGTATTGGAGGAAGATGCGGGACGTATGGGGCATGTTGTACTTTTGTCACAGAAGTGGTGGGTCCTTGATGGTCCAAAAAAGTAAGATGGTTGGTGACGTTTGGATGGGTAGTTTAACCCTAATGGTAACAAATTTGTATGATTAAGTGGTGTTCATGAAGGAAGTAATTACTAAGGTTTATTCCAATGTCTGATGTGTGCCAGCCAAGCTGGGTGTGAATGGCTGGTGGCTGGTATAACATAACATGACATTGGGTGGTGCTTCCCTGGCATTAGTGGTTGTTATTGCTCTGCCCCTCCAGCGCTCACTGGAGAGCTAGGCTGGAGAGGGGGCGGGAGCAGTTGGCTCAGGTTCTCAGCTGTGCTCTGAGAGGCTGATCCAGCTACCAATCTGGCATCTGGGTGGATCCTGACAATATTGTTCCAAAGACTGAAGCGGCTATGATTCTGGATCACAGGAGAGTATTAGTATGTGACCCACAAGGGAAGTATGATCAAAAAAGCTTTGGCTGTACTTCTCTTTAAAACTGCATGTATGTGAACACAAGGTGGAGAGCCCCCCACAAGCTCACCAAACATTAATTAACCGTGTAAAGTTCTATGACAAGGAACTGAGGGGAAACATGTGGGACAGTGCTACAACCTCTACCGTGATCCAAAAACTGCTCTAAATCCCGATGCTCTGACTGAAAGGACTCTGGAACTTCACTAATGCACAATACCACGGAGAACTGCTGGCACATCAGTCTAAATCTGCATAGCGGTTGTCCTTTATTATACCCAGTAGAACAAAGCCATAAAAATTCCAATGCATTTCGGCCTTTCAGGCCTTCATCATGGCTCAGTCATGATCAAAGCCTAAATGGCCGAAACGCGTTGGGATTTTTATGGCTTTGTTCTACTGTAAATAATAAAAGATACCCGCTTCTCAGATTTTATACCAATGTGCCGGATTTTCTCCGTGGTAAGAAACTGAGGGGTCAACCACGCTGCTACATTGTGCTTCTTACTGCAGAGACTGAGCACAGCCATTCATTTTGCGTGGTTAGTGACAGGGTCCTGTCCACGGCAGAAGTTCTGGAAGATCTAGCATTTCAGCCAGTACTCTACATGGCCGCAGAAGTACACATCAGCCTCAGTCTGGTGCCAGACGGCCTTTATAAGGAGGCTCATCACTTCCTCAAGTTGCTGGATGATCTCTAGATCCCCATGCCCTGTTCTTGTGATTCTGACCTGTGATTTCCTGTTTACCGCCTCGGCTTGCTCCTGGACCTGTCTACTCTGCTTTACCCCTGACCTGACCTTGGCTTTGGCTTACGAATATCTCTTTCTCTCTCTCTCTCTCTGTCTCTGTCTCTCTCTCTTCCTCTCGCTCCTCTGTGTCTCTCCATGACCTCGGCTATCCCATCTGACTACGACAGCTCTGATTCCCACCTGGTACCTGACCTTGGCTTGAACCAACTACCCAGTAAACATCTAAATCCTGGACGGGCTTACATACCTCTCACTCTCAGGCACCTCCTGTCTGCAGGCCTATCTCCGTGCCTCTCCACTCCCCTCCCTCAGCTGTGCTTCTCAGTCTCCTCCCCACCAACCAGCACTCCTACAGGCGACCTGTGCCACTTTGGGCCAGACTCTCCCGCTGTCCCACTCTCAGGGGAGTCCGGAACTTAGCCGCAAGGGAAGCCCTCTCTCCATTGGCCTCCATCACCAGGTACGTGATCAGGGGTGGACTGACAACTCATGGGGCCCCTGGGCAATAGGGGATCATGGGGCCCCTGTGTCCTTCCCCAACCTCAAAAAAGCCTATGAAAAAGGTACCAGGGGCATCTCATACAGGGGCCCCCTGGGCCTGACCCCGGGTCCCCTCGGGCAGTGCCTGAGTTTCCAAATGGTCAGTCCGTCCCTGTACATGATAGTTAGTAAGGTGAGAACCTTTGTCTCATTTTTGTTGCATTCTTTGGACCCCACTGAGAAGATTATCACTTACTTCCTGTTGTGCAGATGAAATAAAATGTTTTATATGGATTTCAGTTCCACGTTTCCTTTGGGGAGCGCTCAATGTGGAGGTTTGAAGAAGCAATGTCCTTGATGAAAGGCTTGGCTATGTGTTTAGTAAACTCCGCTATGTATTCATCAGAAGTTGCTGGATTTCCATCTGACAATTTGCACAGAGAATGGTCGTAATTATATAATGTTGGTCTGATCGGAGATCTCCTCCTCTCGTTATGCAGATGTTTTTAATCCATGACAAAAGACGACTGATTGTTATCAGTGATGAGAGCCTTTGAAGTTGCTGGAATTTCATTGAGGAATTTGGCACTTTGGTGTTGCTTATTGTGTTTGCTTCCCTCCTACGCAAGAAAATGCAAACGCGTCTTTTACGTCCTACAATAATCGCGTTTGTTTGTTTGTTTAATGAAACTCCATTTGTGTCCCCCCAGCAGATTCAGGAAAATCTTTTTCTCATCTGCTAATACATAATTACAAAGCAAATTATACTTACCTAGTTGTTCCTGAAGCCGAAGTCTTTAATTGAAATATATTTATGTAATGAAATAAAAGGGGGAGGGGCTGCGGTTATCTTATCGCTGATTATTATTATTATTATACAGGAATTATATTGCGCCAACAGTTTGCGCAGCACTGCACAAAATGAAGGTAGATGTTACAATACAATTTGGTACAAGAGGAAACAGAGGGTCCTGATCCTGGGAGCTTACAATCTAGGAGGAAGGGTTGACTGATAAAAAAGGTAATAGCTGTGGGGGAGGAGCTGATGGAGGAAATAAATGGCAGTTTACTAGGTAGAAGCAGGATAGGCTTCTTTAAAGAGAAAGGTTTTCAGGGAACGTCTAAAGGTGGATAGATTAGGAGACAGCCGGACAGATTACAGTAGGGAGTTCCATAGGATGGGAGAAGCTCAGGAGAAGTCCTGGAGGCAAGCATGGGAGGAGGTGACACGGGAACTAGAGAGCAGAAGGTCTTGGGAGGATCGAAGAGAGCGGTTTGGTTGATATTTTGAGACCAGGTTGGTGATGTAGCTGGGGGCAGAGCTGTGGATGTCTTTGTAAGTTGTTGTTAGTATTTTGAATTTTATTCGTTGGGTGAGTGGAAGCCAGTGGAGGGACTGGCAGAGAGGGGTGGAGGACACTGAAAGGAGGCCAGTGGAAAGATTGGCAGAGAGGGGTGGAGGCACTGAGTGGAGGTCAGTGAAGGGATTGGCAGAGAGGGGTGGAGGACACTGAATGGAGGCCAGTGGAGGGATTGGCAGAGAGGGTGGAGGACACTGAAAGGAGGCCAGTGGAAAGAATGGCAGAGAGGGGTGGAGGCACTGAGTGGAGGTCAGTGAAGGGATTGGCAGAGAGGGGTGGAGGACACTGAATGGAGGCCAGTGGAGGGATTGGCAGAGAGGGATGGAGGACACTGAAAGGAGGCCAGTGGAGGGATTGGCAGAGAGGGGTGGAGGACACTGAATGGAGGCCAGTGGAGGGATCGGCAGAGAGGGGTGGAGGACACTGAATGGAGGCCAGTGGAGGGATTGGCAGAGAGGGGTGGAGGACACTGAATGGAGGCCAGTGGAGGGATTGGCAGAGAAAGGTGGAGGACATTAAATGGAGGCCAGTGGAGGGATTGATTTTTATTACATATTTATTACAAATTTATTGTATTATCTGTTAAAGTGAAATCCCATTTATTGTTGATTCGGATCAACTTTATGTTCTGAAGCAATCTGCAGGTTTATTGCTTCTGAATTTTCTAAAGCCTTTCGGACATGGGGGCTCAGTTGGAGGGTGTTCCCATCATTATCATCCTCCTTCACAAGTTGGTTCCTCATCCCCTTCTTCACACTTCGGTCCCACCGTTCTGCTCTTCCTCCACAATCTAGGCTTTGAACATCTATTCCTCCATAACCACAATGCTTTGCTCTCTTCTATAATCCGGCGTTGCTAACCCTTCTGTTGCTCTCCTCCATTATTCTTAGTACCTGAAATTTCTCTCAAGTCTACAAGATGGTATATTTGCCCTCTTGACTCCCTCTCACTGCACTTCTTCCCCTCTCTTCCCAACTCCAGTCTCTGAATCCGGTCTCCAGTTACTTCCTCTACCTCTAGAAATGTGATCTTGTTGCCTCATCTTTCCTCCTTCACAATTTGATCTTGCTTGCTCTTCCCTTTCAATACAGTCCCACTGTTCTTCTCTCCAACCAATGTTTAAGAACAATTTCCTCCATAATCACACCCTAATGCTTCTCTCGCTCTCTCCTAGTTTATTACCTCTTCTCTTGCCCTCCCCTATAATTCTTATCTGCAATCTCTTCCCACTTCACTCCACAATTTGTTCTTGTTGCCCTCTCAACCCCCTCTCCACAATCCCACAATCTGGTCCCACTGCTCTTCTCCCCCTCTCTAGCAAACTCCAGTCTCCGCACTCTCTGCCTCCTCTCTTTCCTTCCTCTACAGCAGGGGTGTCAAACTGGTGGCCCTCCAGCTGTTGCGAAACTACAAGTCCCATCATGCCTCTACCTTTGGGACTCATGCTTGTAACTGTCAATCTTGCAATGCCTCATGGGACTTGTAGTTTAGCAACAGCTGGAGGACCGTCAGTTTGACTCCCATACTCTTCAGTCTTGTCTCATTCTATTCTCTCCTCCACCCTCCTCACTCCAGGATCTGGTCTCCTTACCTTGTATCCTGTTATCTGCTACAATCACATTGTACTCCCTCATGTCCTCCACTATCCAGGCATTCTGCTACTACTCCCCCCCCCACACACACACACTTTCCAATATTGTCCCACTGCCTCTTCAGTTCATGCTGAGATGTATTTAGGATCTTGCCCCTTCTGTCTTTAATGGCCAACAAGAGAATCCTTTAAGTCCCAATGAGTTTTGGCTGGCCTGCCATATACACTCACTGGCCACTTTATTCGGTCCACCTTGCTAGTACCGAGTTGGACCTCTTTTTGCCTTCAGAACTGCCTTCATTCTTCATGGCATAGCTTCAACAAGGTGTTGGAAACATTCCTCAGAGATTTTGCTCCATATTGACGTGATAGTATCATGCAGTTGCTGCAGATTTGTCATCTGCACATCCATGATGGGAATCTCCCATTCCACCACATCCCAAAGGTGCTTTATTGGATGGAGATCTGGTGACTGTGGAGGCCATTGGAGTCCAGTGACCTCATTGTCATGTTCCAGAAACCAGTTGGAGATGATTTGAGCTTTGTGACATGGAGCATTATCCTGCTGGGAGGAGCATTCAGAAGATGGGGACACTGGAGTCATAAATTATTATTATGGATGGACATGGTCAGCAACAATACTCAGGTAGGCCGTGGCATTTAAATGATGCTCAGTTGGAACTAAGGGGCCCAAAGTGTGCCAAGAAAACCTCCCCCACACAATTACACCACCAACAGCAGCCTGAACCATTGATACAAGGCAGAATGGATCCACCACACCATGACACCACCTCCACCAGCCTGAACCATTGATACAAGGCAGGATGGATCCACCACACCATGACACAACCACCACCAGCCTGAATCCATTGATACAAGGCAGGATGGATCCATGCTTTCCTGTTGCTTACACCAAATTCTGACCCTACCATCTGAATGTCGCAGCAACCAGTCCGCCTATTCTCCTCTGACTTCTGATATCAATAAGGCATTTTCCTCCACACAACTGGCGCTCACTGGATATTTTCTCTTTTTTGGACCATTCTCTGTAAACCCTAGAGATGGTTGTGCGTGAAAATCCCAGTAGATCAGCAGTTTTTGAAATCCTCAGACAAGCCCGTCTGGCACCCACTACTATGCCACATTCAAAGTCACCTAAATCCCCTTTCTTCCACATTTTGATGCTCGGTTTGAACTAGAGTATATCATCTTCACCACGTCTAGATGCCTAAATGTATTGAGTTGTGGTCATTTGATTGGCATATTAGCAATTTCTGTTATTAAGCAATTGAACAGGTGGACCTAATATTATTATTATACAGTATTTATAAAGCGCCAATAGTTCGCTCAGCTAATAAAAGGCCAGTGAGTGTATGCCCCAGAGCATAGTTGCTTTTGCTGCCTTATTATCATTGACTGGTGTTTTTTGGGTCCGTATTCTTTGTAGACGAACATATTTGTGGCTATATCGATTAATGTATTTTTATATTCACAGAGATCACCAGTTACCCTGGATTCACACTTGCATTTGCATGTGATTTTGGAGTGTTTTTTCTTGTTTGCACTTGTTTTTCCAAGTATTTTTAGGCATGGGTATATTGTTTAGCCAATGAAAAGCCAGCTTCCAGGAGGGGGATCCTGCCGTTAGGCTCAAAATGATAAAAAATATGAATGTTATGCCTGTTTTGAAGACACTTCCACTGAAGTCTACTGGGACCATAAAATGGCAGATACTGCCCAAGGAAACGCGTGTCTATTTGAAAGCGAAGTCAGGATGATCTCCATCATCAATCAGCAAAATTTGTTGACCCACCACCCTTAGCCCCCAATCACACCTGAACAACTTGATGTGCGTTTTCAGAAGAACTTCAACACTCAACACCAGATTTCCAGTGGTGGTTGGGCTGAAGCTGGTGCCCGGTATGTGATACCCTCTCCTCCGGTGTGATGAGGGTGCTGGCCGACGCTGGTCTGTGCCTTTCCCTGGTTGCCATCGCCCTCCTGGAGTTGCCTCTCAGCACCGGTCACTGGTGTGAGAGAACACTTGGAGACACTGGGAAGGGGGAAGAGGAGCAATTGAGAATACACATACAGTCCAGGCCAGGACCTACTCCTCTGAGGGGAAAAATCACGGACTGCCCAGGGAGGACAGCCACTGTCCAGAGAAGTCCATCTGATCTCCAGTGTGGGGGAGGTGTCACACTGGGAATACCAGCACCGGGAGATCCCCTTTCCCCGCCTGTACATGGTCATGGACAGCCACTGCACCCACCGCTTCATGTCCACTGTCTCTTGGCTCTGGAGGAGATGTCACAGTAGGGGGGGAGGGGTGTCAGATTTTTTTTTGTGTTGCCTAGGACAGCAAAAATTCTAAATACACCCCTGAGTTGGATGCCTCCTTCTAGTATCCTCCAGACACCTCTCCAGTGAATTCTTTGGAGCAAATCCCTCTAAAAGAAGTCCCTCAGTCAGCTCTAGCAACGTCTCATACAGCCATGTGATTTTGGAAAGATTTCTTGATTTCATATATTTGTAGCACTCTCCTAGGTACCTAGGGGGAGCTAAGTTATTTTTTTTTAGAAGGAGGCTGAATAGCAAATGGGAGAAATAGTCAGAGGGTGGAATTTTGGTCAGGGCTGGAAGGCTCTGCAGATCAGCTCTCTGGAACTTTCCCTGATCTAGAGACTTGGAGATGTCTCTAGAATTCAGTGGGTGGGGGTGAGCAGCAGCTGGTCTGCACTCTCAAAGGATCCTAGTCAATCCCCAAGCAGGAGGCTTGGCATGGGGTCAGGAGAGCCCTTTCGAGTGGTCAAGTCTTCTTAGCAGCAGGAGAGTTCGGTTGGTAGATGAACTGGGGAGGATGGTGTGTGGAGCCTGTGAGGGGGTGCAGGAGAGGGACCTACCAACTGGTGGAGAAGGTGGAAGGAAGGATCTCTCAGCCTCATCGTCCTCTGAGAGAGGACAGCCTGGGAAACAGGGAAGGAGCCAGACCAGTGTGAGGCCTGAAGGCAGCCACCAACCCACAAGCTTGCAGGAGAGACTGTAGTGAGTAACCCTACACACCCCCTGGGCCAGATAAGGGAAAAGGACATTTGGGTGGGAAACCTGACTAGCCCCCATTTGGGACTTCTTTCATCTAAAGTGGCAGCTTCTGGGTTCCCTTGCCCAGGGATTCCCTGAGGCAGCAGGGGGAAGAGGAGATGTCATCTGGGATCTGAAGTGGTACACAAGGAGAAGCTGGAGAGCTTTCCAAGAAGAGAAAATCCTTCTGAGTACTTGTACATAGTTTCAGGAAGTTGTCCTCAGTTTTACAGTTCCTTGGATATCCCATGTATTCCTCCTCCTCATCTCAGTTTCAATCCCCTAATAAAATCCAAAAAACAGGTTCAAGGACTGTTTACTGTCTCTGGAGTGCAAGTCTGGAAGGAAATGCATGTTTCCTGGCTGTGAAGGACCTTTAAGGGGACCCAAATCTCTAATGAATCCTACGAGGGTAGTGCTACATACTACATATTATTCAATGTGTTTTCTTTGTACCTTATGGGGTGGTTAATTAATACATTTTTTGCATCTTGTTATAGGGGGGTTGAGCTGTTATGGGGAAAAAAGCTATAATTGCTAGTTGGTGAAAAGTAAATATAATACTGATTTTGCCAAACCACACTTGTTTAATAGGTTAGCATATTGTCTCTTTGTGTGACCTGCTAAATATGTTGATGTAGTTTATGTGATGGAACAAGCATTCTCTGCTACGCTGTGCTGGTTGCCTAATTAGCCCTTGCTATAATGACATTCCTTCGTACTTAGTTCTCGCTGTTCTGTATAGGTGCCTCCTTTAGAGAAAAGATTTTCTTGGTCTCTCAGAGTCTAACAAGTCTTGTTGTTCCACAAAAGACATTATTGGAAG